CATGAAAGCCAATCCACCCGACACTGCGTTGGCACAGTGCGTGTACAGTTTGTTGCTGGGCGCAAAGACATTCAGCGGACGTGCCGGAAACACTCTGGAGCCCATGACCTTCTTAAAGAGCGCCGTCACATAGTAGCTCAAATTGGGCCGCTCGAAGTCCTCTAGACTCATGCGCTTGAAGACCACGTCGAAGCCACTGCTAGCCGCATCGCCCAGGGTCTGTGCCCAGCGCAAGGCGTCCGTCGTCTCATCACCCACCAGCCGCTTGCTTATGGACTGTGCCCCATTCTGATCCTCCGGCAGCGTCAGCCACAGCGGCACGCGCTGCTTCTGGAGTGTTTTCAGTGCCGGATCGCTGTCGTAGATGTAGCTGCCCAGGCTGCTGGTAGGCAGCATGTTGGCGGGTCTGTCAATGGATTCACAGATTAGAAATGACGGATTGTCTCATAATACCCGGCTTCCTTTTTCGCCCAGTTTACAGAGTAGCCGGTGGAATTCCCAATTCTGTTACAAGTATGAACCCGGTCAGACGAAACTTGAAGCCCCGTCCATAAAAGTTGTAGCCCCCGTTTTTGCTCAAACTTTACCCACCTTTTTATACCCTTATTTTCCGCCACGGAAGAATATTTAGATATAATACTCACTGCGTCCAGCCGAAGGCCGCATTTAAATCCTTGGACATGTCCACATATTTGCGTGTCTCCTCGGCGCTGCTGCCAGCTGATATATCGGCGCCCATAACACGCCAGTTATCCACGTAGGGACTGAAGGTGTCCGTCATCAGCTTCAGTGTGCTCAGCTCCTGCACGTAATCCTTGGCGCGTGATGTGCCAAAGTCTGTGCCCAGCTGCCAGATGCAGTCAGTTATGCCCACCATGTAGGAGGTGTTGAGTATCTTGAGCGTATGCATCGAATCCCACTCATCGGGCGCATAGGGCACCGGTATAATCATGGTCCAGTTGACAGCGCTGAAAGAAAAGGCAGGCAAACGTTAATATGAAGCAGCCAATCCACACAAATAGTCGGACGCTTACCGCGTCCAGCGATTGAAGCCCTTCCATATGATCTTGGTGGGATTGCGTAGGCGTTGCGGCGCATTGCTCGCAAAATAGAAATCGCCAATGAACTTGACATAGGCATCGCCTAGGAGAGCGGCCATGCTGGTGACAGCCTTGCGACTCTTGCCATCCAGTGCATCATAGAGATCCTCCGGCTTGACGGCAAAGCTGACAAACTTCTCGTTGACATCGTTATAGGGGCGATTCACATGGAGCTGCACCAAGGTGTCCGCCTGGCACAGAGCCAACAGGGCGAGTAAAAATAGCGCCAGCTGCGGGCACAACATATTGGAATAGATGACTTGACCGGAGCTTGTTCGCTGCACAACTGCGCTACGCCGGCCTCTGGGCCAAGCTAATAAGCAGCGCTTGGCGTTTGTCGGCAAAGAGTTTTGAGTTCCATAGTAGTTCATTTCCATAGAAATCTGCTGCAATTGGCAAGAATTTTTCGCTGAGCGCTGCCCTCAATGGAATGACCTTTTTATTCTTTCAGCCAAAATCACGTCGCTATGTGGGCCATCCAGCCCCGGAGCAGGCGGAATAAAGTGCAATAAAAACAAGACACCCGCTCGATTTGGTATGCTGCGATTTTTATTAATGGATGACCCACTAAAATTACATAAGCGCCTAGGCCTCGTCTTCTGCCGTCAACATGGCCTTGAAGCTCAACGGCTGAAACTCATAGCCGGAGCCGGTGTAGAATTTGCTCATGAACTCCACCCAATGCAGACGCAGGGTGTGCAGGAAGGCGGATAGACCCTCCATCATCACCATAATGGCAATCGTGAAGAACACCCAAACGGCAAAGATGATAAATATGGCAATGCAGCCAACGTAGCCGCCTATCTGCAAAGCCTCAGACAGCACCATTGTCCACAAGACCTCAGACAGCTCTGCAAGTGTTTTGCATTAAGCAGGGAACATTCAAACTTCCTCAGATGGAACCTACCAGCGTGTGCCAAGGATAAGGCCCAGAGACGCAGATACGAGGCCGTGTGGGAAATCGTGCTCAGAATATACTCAACCGTATGAATTGCCTGATGTATCCAGATTTCGCTCATGGGCTCTTCCTCTTCTTCCTCCTCCTCCTCCTCCTTTAAGTGCGCAGCCTTGCCGTGGTGCTCAGGGAATTCAGTTATGATGACCTCCTTGCCGGAGATTTCCAGTGTCTCCATGATGGTATCACCGAAGTGTTCAGTATTCTTCCGCTAAAAAAAAAAACATTAAGTCCAGATCCAAGCTGATCTTGGCCAACGCACCATATACTTGCGCTTGCACATTGTCCAAAGGGGCAGGCCTAGCAGAATCCAGGGTATGCATATGATGGCCACCACAAACAAGATTGTCTCCAGCTCCCTTTGTGCCGGAAACATGGACGCTGTGCAGCCCTTGGCGGGCGTCTCAGTTTTCATCAGGATCATGTCAATAAACATGATTAGCACAGATGGAGCACAGCCCGGCGAATTGGCAATATCCGTGGTACTGGGCGAATACTGCACCCACTTGTAGAACATCATGAAGACCATGTACCCGAACAGCATCAGCAGGAAAATAACTTGCGGCACAAACTGAAGCAAAATGTACGAATACTTTTTGAAGTAAACGAAATTCTCCACAGATAGGCAAACGCCGAAGACCATGTGCAGCACGCCAAATATTATGGATAGCTTCATTTTGTAGGTGTTCAGGAAGATGATCTTGTTGCTAGCCGATTGCCAAATTGGATCAATGCCCATGGGATAGGTGCCTCGCTGATCTGTCGTCGGATTCAGCTGCAGTGCCGGATTCGTAAGCACCGTGGTCCTGTTGTACTGCAGGGCCCAATGCGAGCCAAAGACATTAAATGACTTGGAGAAGCAATCGTTGTAGATGAAGCCCGTGTAGATGGCAAACATGCCCATTAGCATTATGATATATCGGCCACCGAACAGAATTTTCCAAATCTCCCCAGCGCGTTTCTTGCTGAGCCGATTTTCGTCGAGCACCATCCAAAGGCCGAGCAGAAAGACCAAAAATCCGTGTCCCATGTCACCGAACATCACAGCGAACAGAAATGGAAATGATATGCATGTATAGAGTCCAGGATTCACCTCACGGTACTCGGCAATGCCATAGGCATCTATCAGCACCTGGAAGCCATAGGTGAACTTGTTGGTGCGGAAGTACGTGGGCGGCGTCTTCTTCGTTTCAAGTATGTTGAAAATTGTGGGCACGGTGCTGCCCAAGGCAAGCGACGCCTCGGAGAGCACCGTTTCGACCTCCTCGAGCTCACGCTTGGGCACCCAGCACTCGCCAATCAAGCACTTGCTGCCCAGATCCACATTGAACATGTTCAGCGTGTGATAGATGGCCTTCATTTTCTTGACCATGGCCGTCCAGTTGGGCAGCTGCTTCTTGATTGCCTTCAGCACACAGGAGCGATGATCCTCGGTCTGGCTAATAATGATCTTGAGATCCTCGAGCCGTACATGCACACTCTTAATCATGTCCAGGCGGTCCAGATGCGAGCTCGGACACGGGTACATGGTGGCATGAAAACCAGTGCACACTTTTCGTATGCGCCCCTGCAGCTGATCACCCTGGAAGAAGACCACAAAGATGGTCTTATAAACCATGTCGCCCGTCTTGGGATCCTTAACAGGCTCATCCATTTGGCAGCTGCGCACCAGGACATTGCCACGCGAGATGCGCCAGAGCATTCGTTCGAAAGCAAACTGTAAATGAATATGGAAAATAAATATGAATCAGGGCAAATCCAAAGTCGGGCATCCGTCATACCTGTCTCTCGCGGCGAATAACGCCAGCCACAAAGCCCAAGCTACCGTCACATTGTTCCGGATCCTTGTGTGTGCCACGCTTATTCACATCAAAGTTGTGCGACTCCTGATCGGAAAAGAACTGCTCTGTTCTTTCCAGCACCTGAATCATTTCACTCAACTCCAAAAGGTTGGTTTGCAAACGCACATTGTTGGCAGACAGTTCGATGATCTCCGTTTCGGTTTTCTCCAACAGCGACTCTAGCTCTATGATCTCCTTGGGCTTGGGTGCGGGCGGAAAGTCCTCAATCAGATCAACCACCGTCAAGCCATCTTTAGACAGCTCTGATGTGGCATAGCGTATCTTCCGCTCCAGCTCGTCACATCGGCGCACTTCGTTGACGAACTTACGCTGCATCGCGGTGATGCCCTCGTTCATCTGCAGCCGTAGGACACATTAAATACCCGAATACCGGAACAGCTAGCTTTACTTACGTCCCGAAACTGCACACAGCCCATTTCGCCCAGTTGCGCTATAGTCTCGTAGGCCGCCTCCGGCTGCAGAAACATCTGGGCCAAGCACATTTCCTCGCTGCGAAAAATGCTGTCCTGCGGTCCCGTGCCGCACATCCATCCTTTCAGTTTACTGCACATTTTAAGTTTTCCCTTTTTTTTTTTTTTTTTTGGTACTGGCAGTGACACCTCAGCGCACTCTGATGACGCCTGGTGAACTGATCGTCGTGGTCAAGTGACTTCTGCGTTGAAGCTTTGGTCATATAGTTTGGACTCCACTTATGTACAACTTTCCAGGCTTATCTTTTGGGCGCATGCTTCGGATAAACTGCCACAAGGTAACAGACAATTGAGCCCATCTATCAACATGATCGAATGGTGTCCGGGGTGTCTTATCAGTCTGCCGCTTGATATCGTAGCAGTTCCCAAGGCATTAAAAACTAATTGGATCGCAATTAGAAAACCATTTGCAGCCAGTTCTTATGTACATAATTCATTTGGGTCTTTCGTTAGTTGTGAAACATTTGTCAGTGAAAGAAGTTCATAGTTAGATGAGTAAAATATAGAAAAGTTACAATTACGAAAAAATTCTATAACTTAAATGAATTTTAAAATCAAGAATATTGTACTAGATGGATGAGTTACTTAAGTAACCGCGTCATTGAAGATCTGGGCTCAAACTCCAAGCTTAGGTATGGATGTTTTAATAGCTAAGCAAAAGTGCCAATGTTTGTTAAGTTATACATTATAATAATAATAATTGAATACCCATCATTATATGACAACCAAATACAAGAGGGTGAGAGATAGTTGACAACTATATAAATTAGATTAAGAGTATGAACTATTTATAAGATAGCCAACACAAGGCTATACACTATATAATGCCTACGTATAATCAAAGCATGATACCCTTTTATTCTCTCTTTAACTCTCTTACACCCAAACATAGATAGAACTTTAACTTCAGTCTGGACAAACAGTTATATGTATAAGTATAGATAAATCAAACATATTGCTTTTCTCTTCTTGCTTTATTTTATCAAGTTAGTTAACTGTGTGCTTAAAATTTATAATAAGGATACACGACTCACAGACATCATCAACATAAATTCTAAGCAGACATTAACCGAACTGACTTATTAGTTTACAATTATTTGTAACAACGAATATCAAATTATTGCTTGAAACGGTTTTTTATGAGAATACATAACAAAATCTTTTGACAACGGATGGAATACATTGACTGAGGGAATATGTGGGAAGAGCACCACAATACTGACAGTATTGAGAAAACAAAAATATTTAACAAAACAAAATTATATTTATATATATATGTATAGTATTCATATATGTGTGGCTATTGCTCTGGCTCAATTACTCCTCTTCTTCGCCATCAATGATTGCCTTGAAGCTGAAGGGCTGGAACGCATAGCCTAAGCCCTCGTAAAATTTGCTCATAAACTCCACCCAATGCAGACGCAAGGTGTGCAGGAAGGCGGACAAACCCTCCATCATGACCAAAATGGCCAGCGTGAACATGCACCAGGCGCCAAAAATGACAAACAGAGCAATTGCGCCGGTATAGGGCGCCATTTTCAGGCCCAACGACAGCACCATGTTCCACAACACCTCAGACAGTTCTAAAAGGAATTTAAAGATGCATTAAAAAAAGTAGACCTTAAAGTCTTCAAAGCACTTACGGGCATGAGCCAAGGACAAGGCCCAGAGACGCAGATACGAGGCTGTATGCGAAATAGTACTGAGCACGTATTCGATGGTGTGGATGGCTTGATGAATGTAGATTTCGCTCATGGGCTCATCTTCGTGACCGTGAGCGCCGCCAGCACCTTCCTCTTGTCCTGAGGAGCCAGTGGGCAATGGTGTCTCCCCCTCGGCCAGTTCCATGTTGCCTGTCAGCTCGCCATTGTGCTTGACCTGTCCAGAAAATAAAAAAAAAATCAACAATAGCGCTTCCCTCAACCTGAAGACGCTCTACTTACATGTGCAACGGTGTTGCGACGGGTGAATTTGATGTACAGCGGCTTGCCCAGCAGCATCCATGGCACGCAGATAAGGCCAATGATGACAAAGGTTTTCTGCAGGCCATCCTGTGCATCGAACATGAACTCTTTGCAGCCACTTGGCGGCGGTGTGTTCTTGAACAACATCATGTTGATGAACATGATCAGCACAGATGGAGCACAGCCAGGAGTCTCGGGTTGGCTATCGGTGAAGGCGGTGTATTTGAACCACTTGAAGAACCTAAACGGAATTCAAATATATATAATATGTGCCATTGATAAGAAAAGTCGTACAATTTACTTACATCATGAACACCATGTAGCCGAAGAGCAGCAGCAGGAACAGAATTTGAGGCACAAACTCCAGGAAGATGGAGGAGTAACGCTTGAAATGCACAAAATTACAAACGGACATGCAGACACCAAAGACCATGTGCAGCACACCGATAATAATGGACAACTTCATCTTGAAGCTGTTGAGAAAGATGATCTTGTTGTCTGCCAGCTGCCAAATAGGATCCAGGCCCAGAGGATAAACACCCTTGGCCGAAGTGCGCGGTGGCATCTGTAGACTCGGATTGGCCAGCACGGTCGATGTGTTGTAGTTGTTCACCCAGTTCGATCCGAACAGATTCATGGACTTGGAGAACACATCGTTGTAGATGAAGCCCGTGTAGCAAGAGAACAGGCCCATGAGGAGAATGATATAGCGGCCGCCAAAGAAGATGTTCCAGATTTCGCCACCGTTCTTAATGCGACCCAGCTTCCTCTCACTGAGCACCATCCAAGCGCCAAACAACAACAGTATTAGGCCATGACCCAAATCGCCAAACATAACAGCGAAGAGGAAGGGGAATGTAATGCAAGTGTACAGAGCCGGATTGCACTCGCGGTACGAGGCAATGCCATAGGCATCAATAAGGTTCTGGAAGCCGCGCGTGAACTTGTTAGTGCGATTGAAAGTCGGCGGCATTTCATTCGTATCGATAACATTAAGGAATGATGGGATTGTGCTGCCCACAGCAGCTGAGCCGTCGGAAAGAGCCTTCTGCACAATGTGCAAGTCCTTCGTTGGCACCCAGCACTCGCCGATGAGGCACTTCTTGGTCACATCCATGTTGAAGAGATTGAGCGTATGATAAATGGCCTTCATCTTCTTGACCATGATCGACCACGAGGGCAGATTCTTGGAGACAGTTGCGAGCACACGGCTGCGATGATCCTCGGTCTGGCTAAGCACCAGCTTCAGATCTTCAAGGCGTGTACGGACATTCTTGACCATCTCCTCGCGCTCGTTGTGTGAGCTAGGGCAGGGATAAAGTGAGGCATGGAAGCCAGTGCACACCTTCTTGATGCGATTCTTTAGCTGCTCGCCCTGGAAAAAGGCCACAAAGACGGTCTTATAGATGGGATGACCAGTGGCTGGATCGTTCAGTGGCTCATCCAAATCAGAACGCTTAAGGAACACATTGCCACGCGAGATGCGCCACAGCATGCGCTCGAAGCCAAAGACACGTTCACGATTGATGACGCCCGCCACGAATCCAAGACGTCCACGGTGCTGGACAGTCGCTTCATCAATAACGCCGGCGCCGCGATTGCTGGAGTCCAGATTGAGCACCTCCTGGTCGGAGAAGAAGCCCTGCGTATTTTCCAGCACCTTGCGCAGTTCCGTTAGCTCCAAATAGTTGGACTTCATGTTCACCTCGTTCTGGGCCAGCTCAATCATTTCCGTTTCGGTTTTTTCCAAATGCGCCTCCAGGTCGATAATCTCGCGTGGATTGGGCGCACGCGGTATATCATCCTGAATATCCGGCAGCGCAATGCCGTCCTTCTTAATCTCCGTCTCGATGTAGCGTATCTTCCGCTCCAGCTCATCGCAGCGACGCACCTCCGTCACGAACTTGCGTTGGAACACATTCACAGTGCAATTCAGCTGTGGGAATGACAAAGGGAGTTACGAATGACTTTCATTTCGGAAGAATTCGTGTTCGACTGGACTTACATCGCGAAACTGCACACAGCCGGTTTCACCCAGCTCCGAGACGGAGGTGTATGCGGCCTCTGGTTGTATAAACATCTGGCATAATGCCATTTGCTCACTGCGGAACATATCCCCCATCTTGGCGACGCTTCACGTTCCCTGCAAAGCATAGATAGAGTGAGAAAATGAGGGGGGGCAGGTTAGTTGGAACATTCCACAGACATGCAATTAAAATTCAAATAGGAAAAATATTCAACAGCCAGACGAAGACGTCGTCTTTGTCGTCGTCGTCGTTCCCGTCGTCGCCTGGCAAGTGATTTGAATTGTTTTTGTTTGTTGTATTTTTATTTTTTGCCTAACCATGACAGCCAATGGCTTCTTTTGTCTAGCATATCGTATACGATACGCAGGGAAGGCTCGCTTGCGCGGACAGCCACGTTTGCATCTCTACGTCCTGCCGATGGCAGATGTCCACTCAAAAGATATGAAAACAATGTTTATTTACATTTACCTTAGTTTGTATTTCTCTATATTTTTTGTGTAATATTGGAGGCGCTAAGAAAGGTGGCTGTACGTCAATCGAGATTTCACTGTACTCGCAAGCATATGCTACACGCGCCATAAAATTTTGTAAATGCCCGCAGAAAACGGTCGAGGAAATTTTCATTGGCGCTGTTCCTAAAAGCGAACTTATTTTGTTGTATGTATTTATCTACACGGATTTGTTTTACATATTATTTATTGTTCTTTTCATTTGTTTATCTTCTTCTCTTAATGTAGTAGCATGTGTTTTATCGTAATTACTTCTGCACATTGCCATGCACCGCCGAAATGAAAATCGTCAAATAATTATTTCTTCCTGAATTTGTGTTCGCAGAAAATTCATCATTCGCAGTATATTTAAGTATCTAGAGTAAGCTTGAGTATATATCTACGCGAAATTTGATAGTTTCGCTGACTCTCGAAGTTTTATTGGACTTCAACCCAAAACCTTATTGTCATTCTATCTACATATGCACACTCAAACGAAAAAATGTACAATTTAAATATTTATTTCGAAAAAAAACCCATTTCACTAAATTATTTGAAATTCTTACACGCGAAGCATACTTTTCTAAGCCCGAATAAATATCAAAATTGATAGTTTTACAATCGGGATAAAAAGTTTTCTAACAAGAACAGAATTTGTGTGGATCAAATTGTTTATTATTATAATACCTATTTAATCTTTTAAGCTGTTCGCACACATTTTTTACATATATATTCGCATGTTTTGAATTTTTGGAATATTTGAATAGCATATTTTCTAAATATATTTAATAATGTTAGCTAGTTTTTTGTTGTTGTGCGTGTTATTAGTTGACGCAATGGCATAATATTGGAAATCTAGCAAAGCCGATTAATCATATTAACTGATAAATATCTGTTTTATCAGAATACTGCCAAAAACATATGAGAATATAAGACTAGACACAGTCGAAATCGACGGCACTTACAGATAATGCGTGTGATTAATGTTTTTGATTTAATTAGAGCGCGTTGCACTAAGCAACGCAGCTGCTGCGGTCGGTTCTGTGTTGGCTAAAACAGAGTGCTCTAGTCGGGAGTGACCGACTAGAAGATACGTCGTGTCCAGCTGCAGTCTGCATGCTGGGCATAAGCTCGAATCCAAACGTGGCTGAATTACAAAGCTCAAGGCAACACCTATGTTTTTTAAGGTATGTGAGGAAAGGTATAAAAAACTTTAAATATTTTCGATTATTGCATACTATACAAAAGTATACATACCTAATTTGGTGCCCCTTGCTATTATAATTCCGAAATACGCTCAAATTACTTATGGATGATTTCTAACAAACTGAAGGAGCTACTTTCAATATTTAAGCCAGCTTAAGTACGTTGTCATAATCAGGAGCATATATAGCTTATAAGGTTGCATACATATATACAAAACCAGGATACCCTTCGCAATGCGTTCAGGGTATACGAAGTAAAACAAATAGAATGAGCACACAGACGCGACGCGCCAAGGTTCACTGTGACATCATCAGACTCGAAACAGTCAACGACACGGACGACAGTGCGACGCGTCGCACATTATCGAACTTTAATGGCCTGGCCAGGAATTAGCTTTAGCTTATATACATGTGCACACACATACATATGTATGTGTGTTGTACATACATAACAGAATGATGATAGATGTGCCTGGACATATGTACATACTGAATGCTCGTTAAAAACCATTTGTATCTCTGTCCGCCTTCTGCCCGCCGTTTGCATACAGTTTTATGCTAGCCTCTCGGCTGCCGGCCAGCAGCATGCCCAGAAGTTGTCCCCAGTGGAGCCAGCAATTGCATGGCATTCATATTTTGTAACCCAATGTTAGTTCCTTGCAATTCGAACAGCTCCACAAGGAAAAACGCCTGTTGCCTGCCTGTTGTTGCTTGAGAAATGCCGCAAGTATTTTTATACCCTTACATCGAGTGTTTTAACTTTCTTCTCGATTTGTGTAACATTTTCGCGCCTTTTTGGTATATATATAAATTTGCTAATAGTATGCTTGGCAAGGTAACTGATCCATATTTTCGCTTTAGGTAGTTACATCTAGAGCATACTCAACATCGGAGTAGTATAGAGTATTTAATCATCGGATCCATAAAATATCTGGTTTTCGCTTAGATTGGGTTTTTATTCATTCATTTACCCGACACCCGATCTGACTGTACTGTTTGGCATTTTTACAATGCATTTTATCAGAATATATGAAAGTATATTTATAGCAGCGCAATTAAAATAATCAAAATTAAATGAGCATAGCAAAATTATCGCTGCCAATTCCGTAATGGATAACTGCGTGCAGCGGGTAGCTAATGTGCTGCCTAAACGGAAGTCTACCATTTTTGCATTTACCAACACTCAACACTCAACGGCTGATGCGACAGTGCCTACTAATGTATGTTTCTCTGTAGAACTTTACAACAAGTTTTTATCAACATTTATGGGTTCGCTACCAAAGTAAAGCAATAAATATAAAAATTCTTCGAGCATTGCACAATTATCGCTAAATAAGTTGGCAATTCCTCAAAAGATAACAGTTGGGAAATTCTATTTGACTTAGTGCTTAAACGGAAGCCCGCCTATAGAGTATATACTAACTACTCACAATGTGCATTAAACATGCATTGTAGTTTAAGTAGAACTGCCTTTACTAGGCGAGCCCGTATAATTTAAAGCTAATTTGGACCATACACGTGGGTAATTGATTGGCATTCATAAATCAAGGGCTCATAAATTGTTAACGATATCTGCTACCTGGTCACACCCACAACTGGAGCTAGTTAGAAATGTGTATACAGTGAAAGTTTAACTAAAGGAAAGTTCTTTGGGGTGGACATCAGTCAGACATTCGCTATGTTTTGAGTCCTAATATATTAAATTCCATTTTATGGTACATTTCTCTAAATAATACAAAAAAGCCGAGCCATATTCGTAACAGGACAAAAGCACGTTGAAATCACAATTGTTCACTCACAAGAGCTTTCACTGTATGTCAGCAACTGTCATACACACAAACAGCAATCGCATATCGTTTTTAATTAAGCTTCAATTAATATGAAACGCTTTCAAGCTGAATTTCAACTTGCCTTGCCAAACACGATATGCGCTTTTAAGCCAATGTATTGTATTTATGAACATGCATATGTACAAGCATACAGATATCGTGTGAAGGTATGTATACTTTTGTTAACCACAAAAAAAAAAAAGCACAAATATTTTTTCAGTTTCTAAACACGCACAACAAAACGACAGGCAACTAACTGTAAACCAGTTCAACTTAAAAACAACTAAACACACCGTTGCCGTCTGCTCGAATGCTCTCGCTCCCGCTGCCTGGCCGTGCCTGTCAGTTTACTTTTCGCTGGTCATTTTCGTGAGTAAGTCGGGCTGGACGTGTAACGTGTGGGTGTTAGTTTGTGTCTCGGTTTGCTTTACATACGCACACATAATGTGTGAGTGTGTGTGCGTTGACTGTCGCTCCCGAATGCACGCAAGAAGCGGGCGAGTCTTAATTACATTTTAACGAAGCAACAGCACTTCGTGTTTAACGTTAATGGCATTTGCGACCCCCGTCGATGCACGCCCCTGCCAGGCTCAGTTAATATCGCTACGACAACGAAGTTTCGTTAAAAAATTGTTTGTTTTGTTTGTTTTTCGCTCTCATGCGCGCTTGCTCTTTTGTGCGCTCACTTGTGCCTGTATGTGTGTGTGTGTGTGTGTGTGCAACGTTTATTTGGTCATTTTTATTCAATTTTTTTTTTATCATTTTGTGCTCAATTTTTTTTACAGTTTTTCCTAACTATTATCTTTGAAACAAAAACAAGCGTTTTAATTAAAAAAATATTAAAATACAAATGTTATGCCAGCGATAAGAACAATGATAAACTTTAAGGAAATTATTTAACATAAGAGACTCAAAAGCCCCGCCCAGACGTTGATAACCAGGCCAAAGTTATATAAGTGGGGACTACGACTAGAGCACACGCCAAGCGCTTAATCCCCTTAATAAGTGTAATACTTCAAATAGCTAGTCTGAAATCTAGAGCTTTTATAGACTTCCTATGAATAAGCAAATACATATGTATATACAAACGATCGGCTGTAGTTCTAATCAAAATGATTGATGGAAGTGCTTGTGAATATTTATGATCGGCTCATAAATCATAATTAAACCGAAATTGATGCACTTCTATGACGAGAGCTACTCAAGTATTGTTTAAAAAACATTAAAACACGAATTCTTAAGATGTTCTATGAGAAAAGTGCAGGTCACATGATATGGGGGATTGCATAAAACTCAGCTCTGTAACGCCACTGGTCACACACTCACACACACACATACGTACGCAAACTGCTGACTAACGTGCGTGAGAGACCACAGATACTCTGAAATAGATACTCAGCACGTCTACAGCTAACTGTTACGCTCGCTGCGGGGGCAGGAGGCGAGCGTCAGCTGGTGTCGCGGCATTTACTTTGACATTAGTCCCATGACGAGTCGCAGAGCTGCGCCCACAAATGATGCCCGCTGCCCTGTGTAGGCATCACGTGCGGGGACAGTAATTGTTTAATTTTTATTAAAACATATACTGTTAAGACGCCTTATACGCACGCATGCTTAACAGAAGATCACCTTGAAGTCACACGCGAATTTATATGTATATACATAGTATATATTATACATACAATATACATATGTATGTACTTGCTCGACAGTCTTACGATTTTATCTGCTGTTTTATCTTAACTTATCGGTTTGTTTTATTTGCGCGTCTTCTTGCTTACCTTTGCAGTTTTGAGACTGATTTTTAATACAAAATATTCAAGATTCCCCAAGCGAACGTGCGTTAAATTTAGAACTTGTTCTGCCCGTTGCGCCTGTATAGGTTATTGAAACGATCTCGACGGAGCCAAAAGAGCACACGTCTGGTTAACACCGACGTTCACTTGCTTTTGATGTTAAGTATTCAGCTGGGGCGAGCATGAAGCCAACGGTAGCGCACGCTCACTCTCTCGCTCTCTCTTTCACTCGCTGGCTCTCCTTTGAGAAGTGCTGGGTGGTTGGCTGTATGGCGGCCTCCGAGCATGCTAAATATCTATATGTGTGCGTACTTACATATATGCACACACACACACAAACATTGTATATGTGTAGATACGTGTGATCAAGTTTTTCTCTTATCATAAATCGAAATACAAAAGTCCAAGCCCTCGAGTGTTATATGTATATTTATTTTGTGTGTTTGCAAATATGTACGTATAATTTTAAAAAAGAGACACTATCAATTATAATTAACAATGCGTCAAAAGAGTAATTCCCTGGGCTTGATAAGCCAGTTGATATTGATTATTTGTGTTTTGGTTATGTCAGTCTTATAAATCGTTAGAATTTAGTACTAAGCAAATGGGTCTTGGCAACCAAGTGCGTTAACTTTAAACGCACAACATACATATGTATGTGCGTTTGTATGTTTCATGCTACCAGGGCTGCTAAACTTAACAGTTGTTGTGGTGGATTGTCGATAATTGTTGGCTGAATGCTGTTTACATTTTTTTTGTATACTTGTGTGCAACTGTTCAACTACTAAACAAATTTAATTTAATCCTATTTTACAGCCCAAAGCCGCAGTATGTCCTATAATGGGTACACCCAACTGCCTAGCGGTAGCATCGACTACGAGCGCCGCCAGCAACAGGTGGTGGCCAACACCTACGATGTCCTGCAGCGCACGACCGAAAGCATCCAGCGTTCTAATCAGGTGGCCATTGAGACGGAAAACATAGGAACTGGGGTAAACTCTAAAAAAACAATAAAAAAAACACTTGGCTAATAATTACTTTCATATGTCACACACACAGGTGCTCGGAGAACTCGGTGAACAGCGTGAATCTCTGCTGCGCACCACACGCCGCCTGGAGGATGCCGATCAGGAATTGTCAAAGTCACGGATCATCATACGCAAGCTGAGTCGGGAAGTTGTTTACAACAAGATTGTTTTGATATTAATTATCATTCTGGAGGTGGCCATACTCATCGGCCTGCTGGTTTTGAAGTTTGCCCATCTGTGAAGGACGGGCGGCATCAATCGAATTATTATTCCAAAGTTGAGATCTATGCGTGGTGGATATGGACTTTTATTAAATATGTTTATTTTTTTCTTCTAACATTCATGTTAAACCCATGCCTTAGACATATAGAGTTAAGTTACTATAAATCGTTTATGATCGATATTAATAAAACACAGCTAAAAGTTATGGAGATTTTTTCGATCCCTTATCTACACATTTCACATTTAGTATATGCGGGAATAACAATGATATATATATATAAATATATATAGGTATATATATGCGCATGTTTATCGCGATTATTTGGCATAAAGCAAGTTGCATGCAATGGATAAAGAACGCATTCAAAATAGTTGTTTATGTTCGCAAAATACTTGATGTACGTTGCGATTTAAGTAAATACACGCGTTTCTATTTGAGATAACAAAGTCAAAGGTCAATGATGTGTTCGAGAGTAATCCGCTTTTGAGTAACCACGTGAGAAAAGGGGATTAGATGGTTTGTGGTTGTGGCTGGAATGCAGCTCAACGTTTAAGTAATTTTCAATTATCCTTTGGTAACACGATGGACCAGCCAAATACGCGTCGATCGAAGCCGCAGGAGAACAAATCACAATTAAGTAGCGGCTCCTCCGCCCAGGCGACGGAGGAGACCATGCGACGATGTCCCTGGCGACTGGTGCGCGGTAAACGCGCCACACGCTGCCCATTCAAATCGAATAGTCGAATCTGTCGGTTGTCGTGGGGAATAGCTATAATACCGCCACTGGAGACAGCTAAGCGATTTACGGATGAATCTGTTCGTATGGTGGCCAGGGCTGAGCGCATATTGCGCAACTCCCATACTTTGATAGTGCGATCATCTGAGCCCGAGACGACTTTATCGTCGCGCGCAAAAACGCTTGATGTGACCGACTCGGTGTGTCCCTGGAAGACGGATACTGCAGGTATCGGATCGCGGAAGTCCCATAAACGGAAGGTGGTGTCACGTGATGCGGTCACAACCAGACGCTGTGTTGGATGGGCCGAAACATGGGTGAGCTCATGATCGTGGCCGGTTAGTGGCTGTAGCGGCTGTGCCGTCTCCACGTCCCACAATATTGCAGTGCGATCCCAGCTGCCTGTGATAATCTGGTCCATGCTCGAAAGCCAATCTGCAGCGACTACAACTGACAGATGGCCACCAGGTCCACTGAACTCGCAGAGCGGTGTACGCAATGTGTCCACTCGGTCCCGATCCTCTAGCTGGCCATCACTGTCATCAAGCTCCTCCTCAGACGAGTGGCCCTTTCTATAAATGCATGAGCTAATCATTGTGCAACTTTCTTAATAGTCTACAATCTCTTACTTGGGCACTTCCCAGTTGACTGCTGCTTGCCAGATGTGTGCAGTGCCATCGCCACTGCCTGTTAACACCAGATCTCGATGCTGATGGAACTTAATTGAGTTGACGGATCCCGCATGTCCTTGGTACTGCAGCAAGCAACGGGCACTCTCTATGCCCCAAATGCAGGCGGTGTGATCGGCTGACGCTGTGCCAATAATGGGCTGACCCACTTTGGCGGCTACCTGCCATATGCCATCCTTGTGGCCACCAAATTCGCGCACCACTGAACTGACCACCGTCTGCGCCTTGAAACTGGACACAATGCGGCTGGTCTGCGCTTTGATTTTATTACTGGCCTTTACCTTGCTGCCGCCGGTGGCGCTGCTCAGCTTGGCTTTGAGACTCTTGTGTGTGCTGGAAGCGGCAGCCAGCAAGCTAGCGCCAATTTCGTCGCTCAATGGAGCCGAAGGTGTGGCGGGCGTAGCTGCCAATGAGGCACCACCGCTACCCGTGGCGACCAGCGAGCCAGTGGTGACTCCACCCGCTGCGGAACGTTGATCGTACGGCGTCAACGAATCTTTGGTGTTTGCGGTGGCGTTTTCGAGTTTATCCTGGACTGCAAGGGCCGATCAACAAAAGTTTGCGCACTCTTTCAGAGAGGTCTACTCACGATTCAGGTTCTCCAAGTACAGCTGCTCAAATTCCTTTTCGATTTGGGCAAACAGGAAGTGCAGGCGGGCACGAAATGGCGCATCCTCGGGTATTATGGAGATGTCCTCGGTGAGACTTGTTAGCCGCGTTTTTGCTGCCGTTGCCTTCATTGTGTTGTTTTTGTTTTGCTTGTGTATTTGTTTCTTCACGTCTGCCAGTTTATTTCTGACTGCCGCCACAGTGCGTTTCCCGTCAGCTGGTTTGTTGATAACAATCCAATTAGTGGATAATTTTAATGGTAACCTTTCGCACTTTATTGATCCAATCCCATTATATATATTCGTGTTGCATGAATATTTTTCTTTGGGTTTTGATGTTTTGCAGTGTTGAAAAACATCAAATCGCGAAATGCAATCTTTCTCTACACTGTACACAAACGCAGCTGAATAAAAACATTGAACAGAACATCAGCTGATTTACTTAACCGAAATGTGTGCCTAAAGTTTTACTAGATACCTACTGACATGACTTAGAAATTTTGTTTGTATATGATTGCTTTCAATACGAATATAAATATATCCGACACCCAACAATTAAGATACAATTTAAATAATAGTTCAAAAGTTTAAACATGTGCATGTGTAGGTTTACTAAAATCAGAGCAGCCGCATAAAAATACGCATACAAGCCAAGCTTCTATTATCAATCGCTCACATAAAGGTTAACATTTGTTTTTTTTTTACACATTGCTTGGCCACATCGCTAACGCAGACTGACCAACAGATAAACAATACAGTTAGGAGCTGTTAATTAATATTAACAAAACAATTAAAATGCGCAAGACATGGGTAAAACGCGAGAATATTTACTACAAGCCATTCTACAAGGACAAATCCAAAATGTTTTTTCTGTTAATTTTTTTGGTTGGAATCTCATTCATTGCATATCAGGTTAGTAAACGATTTTGTGTTAAATATTATTTTATTTTAATGAACAAAAGTAAATAATAGGCCTTCTCGCTGAATCAGTTGCCCAGCGTTCAGCAGCTGCGACGCAAGCACAAACAAATGATGCAGTCTCTGGGCAGCAAACAGCTGGATGTGGACGACTTTGATGGCGGGGGCGGTGCCGGTTGGGGTCTCAATCTAGCTGTGCCTGCAACCCAAGATGCAGACGCCATTAAGATCATACGGTACGTTTTTTTAATGCGGATCAAATGTCAGTTATATACTAATCACCACGTCTACCTTGTGCAGCGGCATACGGCTCTTCGACTATGATGCCTACAAGCCCAATTATAAAGGCAACTTCAAGTGCCTGGATGGTAGCAAGGAGATTCCGTTTGACCATCTCAATGACAACTATTGCGACTGTGATGCTGATGGCAGCGATGAGCCGAGCACGAATGCCTGTGCCAATGGGCGTTTTTATTGCAAATACCAAAAAAGACATATCACGGGACGTGGCCTGGATGTCTGGGTTTGGGCGTCCCGGGTGAACGACAACGTTTGTGATTGCTGCGATGGCAGCGACGAGTGGACGACACATGTCAAGTGCCAAAATAATTGTGCGTAGCTTTTCATTGGTGCAGCTAAGCAGACCACCGGGCGCAGAACTCCACTTCTATCTCATACGCATCTCAAAGATTACTCTGTTAGTGTTAAAATCGCATCACAAAACATATTTTTTGTAGAACATTTTTGATTACGATTACGATAAACTTGTAATTTATTAAAAAAAAAAAAGAAGAAAAAAACTAGGCGGTATGTTTAAGTAGATTGAATAAAAACACATTAATCTTAAAAATTCAACTGCCCAATATCATCTAACATTATGATCAATCGAGACGTCTTGGTTTCAATAGTTTCTGCTTGTTGACATGGTCCAAATGCCCTTAGTTATTTTTTACCCCCATTTAAGGCTTTCGCACGTGTGCTTATGCTTAGTTTCATTTATTGCTAGACTCGCAAGAATCAGAAGCCAGTTTTACATAGAACTCTATATTTATAATGAAGAAAATTCTTAGCACAATTCAATGCTTTGTTTATCAACATTATCATTTAATATGTCTTCATTTTTGGTTTAAAATTCGCAGCATATTTACTTTAGTTTCAAGCCATATAATTTTTACTGACAATTTTGAACTGCAAATTCTAAAAGGTACGAAACGGTTGTTATTAGATTAATAGCAATATTTTAGTTAAAGTATGTAATCACTGTGTATGCTAAGTTTAGGAGGGTGTATGCATTTATCTGTTATATAAGTGGTAACCGGGATTTAATGCTTGTTTTTAATTTAATTTAATTTTTGTTTGTATTGTTAAGGAACGTTTTTGTTATTTTCGAATTGTTTATTTTCATTGAGATGGGCTACTAAGAATTTCGTAGTACAAAGTTCAACTACGTACACAATACATAGAGCAAAATCGTTTTTGTAATCTTACAAAATTCATTAAATAAAGTACAATAAAGGCATTACTACTAAGATTAATTGAATTTGTAAGCCTATGTGTTTTAAGGTTTTTGGAACTTAAGTTATTCTTACTTAACGCTAAGTAATACTTAATCAGAGTTTTTCTTTTCTATATTGAATATTGTTTGGATACTGCGGCTCTATGTTTGCGTGGATAAATTTTTACTTTCATTTAAATTCCTCTTAATCGAAATGTCCAAATATGATTTAAATACGTGCGCATTCCAAATAAGACGAGTGATGAAAAAATTGCATATACGAAATTATAAAAGAGATGTATTATTGCACTGACGAGATTTTATGCTTAAGCTTTCGACAATATGAGAAGGGGATATGTATAAGACAAAAAAAAAATGTATATCATAAAAAAATAAATAAATATTTTTGGGACATCAAACATAAATTATAGAAAAAATATACAATTAAAATCTGTTTCAGCACAACAATTGACACAATATTTGAACCTAAACTTAGCTTTACATAATAGGTATAAAAAGAGAGAGAGTTGAGTTGAGGGTAACTTAATCTACGCTTAAACAAACTGAATTGCATATGATGTATGTATAGATAGTTTATAATTAGGTGTACTAGTCTAACGGCAAAGCGTATAATACAATTTTTGCAGTTTGCGTTTCGAGCGACACTGATGATGGTTGTGCGATTGATTTGGCTGGTGATGGTGATGATGGTGTCTGTGCGAGTGCTGCTGTGAATGCGCCTGTTGCAAGTGCTGTTGCTGATAGTGAGTGCGCGCTAAACTGTGTTGCTGTTGTAGTTGTTGTTGTTGTTGTTGTTGCATATGGCTTTGATTATGATTATTTACAAGGCTCGCAGTGGCAGCCGCGGCTGAGCTCGTTGCAGCACTGAGAGCCACCGCCGATGAAATCAGTGCAGCGGCCAAGCGAGAAGATGCCGATGAAGAAGCGGCGTCCGTTGAGAGCAGCAGTTGTTGCTGTTGGCGTAGCTGCTGCAGCTGCTGTCGCTTAGCTGCGGCGGCGCCTTTGCGCATCGCATGTAAACGCCGCCTATGATGATGGGGATGCAATTGAAGCTGTCACTTTGCCTCATCGCTGCCATCCAGCAGATTGTTGCTACCACTGCCAGCGCCATTGTTGGTGGCCACATTTGGCTGCTCATTGCCAGCTTGCTGCTGAAGCTGCTGTTGATTGAGGGAATGGACATGCTGACAGAATGCCTGTAGTACTTCAAAGTGCGTCATCAAATTCGCTGGCTGATTATCGTAATGCAAGTGTCGCGTAATGGGCGCATTTAAACGCCGCAGCATCTCAGTAAACAGTTTCTCTTCCTTGCGTATCCAGGGCCGCCGATCGTCCTGCACCTGGTAGGGTGTGAGGTGCACATGTATGTTCATGCCTAAAATTGAATACACATAAGCGAACTGTGATTTAACAAACCAGAACCAAATGCGTACCCATTCGCGTAAGTGTCTCTAGCAGACTCCGTGATGTGATCCATGTGTTCTTCTGTCCACCATGACCTCCGTCCAGCCAGTACATGTCTGTTATGCGTGATAGCAACCGGCACATACTGCTGTCGTCCGGTGTCAACGTTTTTAGATAGTGAAATTCATAGATGAACTGCAACATAACAATCATAATCATAATCAAGAAATACATGGAAAGTGTCAGTAAGGGTATTTTCGTCTGCTTCGGCAGCGTCAACAATTTTGTTAGCGATTTTTACACCAAATGTGACTCACTTGATTGAGCACGACGCAGCCCTTGCTGAAGCCAATCAGCACCAGCTTGGACTTATCCAAATTCAGATTCTCCCGCCACCACAACGGATTGCTGTCGGCCGCTGGCGTAGTCGCTCGTGGCTGCTGCGGCTGCGTTGGCATCGTCGGTTGAGACGCGGCGCAATCGTTGCTGCTGTTTGTGTTGTTGTAGTGCTCCACATTGTTGGCTGGCGTTGAGTTTGCCTTTGCAGCTGTTTGCTGTTGTTGTTGTTGTTGTTGCTGCTGCTGCTGCTGTTGGCTGTTTGACTCCTGATGGTTGTTAGCGACAGCGTCTTTGTTGTTGCTGTTGTTAACCACATTATTGGTTCCCGTTTCCGTGGTGCCAGCGGAAACTATGGGAAAGATCACGGCGCCATCTGCATCTACTGTTACATTTTCCTGCACCTGCAATATGTCTATGTCCATTTCCTGACTGCTGTCATTGGCTGCCGCCGCCGCCGCCGCCGCTGCTGAGGCTGAGCTAGACTCTGAGTTAACCGTGGCATTCGAGAGCGTCAACGCTGCGGCAGCTGCAGCTGCAGCAACGGCAGCAGCTGCTGCCGCGGCTTGCGCCGCCTGATCGAGTATCTCGTTTTCGGGTATTGAGATCAGACGTTGCGATAGATTCTGTAGCAGTCTGTTAGGAGCGTTTAAGGAAGATAAGATTATGAAAAGAACGTATTGAAATAAGACAAACAAACGCCAAAGCTCAAGAGGAATGACATACACATAATATAACAAGTAAGAGGTTCTAGTCGGGAGCTCCCGACTAGGGGATACCCTGAGCCCTCCTCTTCCAACATCAAATGCAGATATATATATTCTATTTTAGAAGCTATATGTCAAGTTTGGTGACTCTAGCTCTTGTTGTTTACCAAAATTACCTAAAAAACAGAATATCGATTTTATCGATTGCTTGGAAACGAGGTAAGTTATCGATTATCGGAAACAAACTCGGTCTGCGCGGGCACTAAGAGCACCTACATCTAAAATATCTCTAGCAGACAGACAGACGGACATGGCTAGATCGATTCGGCTATTGATGCTGATCAAGAATATATACACTTTATGGGGTCGGGGATGCTTCCTTCTGCCTGTTACATACATTTGGATTTTACAAAAATACTATATACCCTTATACCAATTTTTAATGGGTTCGGGGTGTAAAAACTGAAAGACTAGATTTTTAAGTTGTACCTACAATTAAGATAAAGACGAAAGGTATTAAAAAAATTTTACTATTCTTGTGTACTCTATGAGAACCTGCATCTTTACACATATATCTATATACTAACGGGTTTTGCCTGGCCTTGCCGGGATATTACCTTTCCACTAAGTACACTCCCGTAGAAAATTGAAATATACCCATCTTGATTTCCAGTTCTATTTAAAAATATGTTTCAAGGACATCGAATTAAGAGCCAAGTTTTGGAATCCACGGTTTCCGCTCTTGTTAGTCTTGCGGTGAAAATCATGAAGCTAAACTTGTGTACTTTATGGGGGTCGGAAAAGTCTCCTTCTGTTAAAGCCATTTACACATTTTCAGGTTATACAAATTGCCAGCCAACACTTATTTCACTTCTTAGCTAATCATAGATATTGACCGAGTTGAACTAAATGTGGTTTGTCTTCAACTCACTTTTCTAAATGTTGCAGCGCATGGTTCATGGGCGTATGATCCGGCACACCAGCATTATTTCCACGTACGAAATTATCGAAGCAGCTGAAGGTCTTAAATTCCATGCTGCAAGTGAAACAAGCTCAATAAGTCAATGACTGAGAATATGCTAAATAGAATTACTTACCGAACCGGCCGTATGACTATTATATGTGAGCGAGGAAAGGCTTCACGCAGCAATATCGCAGAATTCTCCAGATTGTATTTCATATAGCCGCGACTATCCCGATTCGTTTCCATGCTCTCCGGAAAGTCCTGCACATCGCCGCCGAAGTAGATAATCGCTTTGGAATCGTCAACATGCTGCGACTGCTGCCGCACAATTGGCGGGCAGTAGACAATGTCGTTGGCACGATTCTGAAAACCGGCCACGGAGAATATGCGAAATGGTCCGGCCGAAGTGCTTGGCGTGCATAAACGCTCCCCGCTGCTGCCGCCAAGCATGCCCTCGAAGTTTCGTATCCTCTCTTGCAGTTGCAGAAATTGATCAATGGTGAGCTGGGAGGAATGAGAGTCATCAGAGATCATTCCAAGCGTCCCACTGAACAGCCACCATAGCACGCACAATGCAAACACACGCATCAACACACAAGCACACACACACACACACACACACGGACACACATACACACGCTCGCACACCTAGTAATAATCATTTTCATATAAGTCACGCGGATCGCCACAGCAGCCAACAAAACGTAGACGCGTATCCTCCACACACAACTTGGCATCCTCCTTCATCTCCTTGAGCTTGACGCGAACTTCCTCGCGCATCAGATTTCGGCACATGGCCACCAGCCCCATGCCCAGCAGCATATATATAAAGTTAATGGCCAGCTTGGAGTGTTGATCGGTAATGCGCTGCAACTCGGACACCTCATTCGGATCGGCGGATATGTCTTCGCGCAGCTTATGCGTGGCTGCATCCACATCGGCGGCTGTCGTTAGTGAGGCGCCCGGCACAAAATCCCCGAACCCGATTTTACACAGTGATGTCATGCAGAAATAGAAGCTATTCAGAAAGCTCCATTTCTCCCAGTTGGCAAACATAATGGTGCCTGTGAGCACATAGAAGATGATGACCCACAGACAGGCCGTTGAGGGCACAATTATCTTTTTGCGCAGGGTCAAGGCGCCAAGAGAACTGCCGTTCTCCAGCGCCTCTAGGCGAGCATCGTAGCTGCGTTCCTGGGTGCAGTCGTGCATGGAGCGGTACAGAAACTTAAACGAACGCGCCAGCACGCGACCCATATTGAGAAAGTAGAGTATATAGAGGGGTATGCCAAATGTGGCATAGATGACAGTGAAGCCCTTGCCCCAGGGCGTACGCGGCACCATGTTCCCATAGCCAATCATGGTGATCACCGACAGGCAGAACATTAACGCTGCCGGGAAGCTCCAGATTTGCGCCGGACTACGTCCCACATAGCCATTCTTAATGATGGCAGCTATCTGCACCTGATATTCACGAAGCACCGCATTCGTCTCGTTCACCCAAAGCGGCTTGTCAATCAGGTTAAGCTCCTCGGTGATGTTCCAGAGACGCTGCGAGTAATTCTGCCGCAGCTCAAGGACATATGTCGCCGTCTTGTCCACATACTCGCGCTCAATGTTCATAAAGGCCAATGCGCCGCAGATGGCATAGAAAACGATGAGGGCACCCACGCCCACCTGGGTGCACATGAACGTGACAAAGTTCCTGCAGCATCGTTTGACGCGCTTCCGCGGCTGATTGCTTGCCGTTGAGGAGACTACCGAGGCGTCCACGCCCACTCCTGCGCCCAGCACTTGCGGAGAGCTGCGTTGAAATTTGTTAGACATGTTGGCCAGACTAAAGCAATTACATAGTTATATAAGTCTATGAGTCCAGCAATGTTTTCACTTATATATCCAAGTATCTAGCAAAATTCTTCCTATTATTCTGTCTTTCGTTTTTTTTTTCTTTATAATGTGCAGTTAATTGGAAATTCGCTTTGGTTTTTCGGGGGCAGAAAGTCTTGAAAATCAGCACAAATGCTATAAATAAATCCACGCACGACCACACAACATTTTCCGCCTAACGAGCCTCTTAACGATCTGCCGAGCTCTAGATGCGCTCACCGCGGCCGCCAAAATCGAACTGCGTGTGTGCTCCAAAAAAAAAAAAAATGAAAGGAAAACTAGTATTTCTCTTGGGCAGAAATAACAACAAGCCAAAAACAACAACAGCAGCAGAAGCATAGCAAAGAGTATCGCTAGGGATTCAATGAAATTATTTTGGGATACAGTAAAAGCTTTGCTAACGTACAGCGTATGATTTTGAGGAACCGTGCACTACTATATCTGGTACAAAAAGCTGAAGCGGATAATCTTTTCCGGCGATAACAAGCAAGAAGGGACATCTTTGGCGTGCCGAATACTTAAAGCTCTCTTAGACATAAGGCTTCGGCTATGTATGCGGAGAGTTATAAGAGTGTCCGTACATACGAGTATTTATGAGTTTGGAAAATGTAATTTAATTTTTTGCAAAATTCATTTAAGTGAACTTCACTGTACATACATACATAGCTATCTTACGATTTATGAACTATGGCAACAAAAGCGGTAAATTAAAATCTAAGGAAAATCTAATTGCATTATTTGATGTTTACGTTATGGCGAGTGAATGTGGGTGTGTAGATAAGACAGATTGTATGGGGAACGTCTTTGATTAATGGCTTAAATAAATGGCAAACTTGTAGATACATGAGCATGTATCCACATACACTTTAAAAACTTTACAATTTAATTATTTAATAATCATACGCACATCAACAGTCGCAGAACCAATAACAATACATAATCAAAACAAAGTGTATGCATAATATAAACAAAGAAAAAAAGCGCGAAGGAGAGCGCAATAAACAACAAAAAACAAGCGCCACAGTGTGACCTGATCCAAAACGAACCCAATGCACGGTGATGCAGAGAAACACGCATTTTGGCACGCACACATTTTTTTTGGACGCATTTGCAATTTCACTTTCGGTGCGTGTGTGTGCAACTGCACTTGCATAACAGCTCCCTTGCCAAAATATGGTTTTTAAGGGTCGTTCACATTCCGCTTAGCCGGTTTAACCTGTACGCGAACGCGCGACAGACAACAGATACACAAGAAGAGGCAGGAAGATCAATGAATGTGCAAAAAACGGGTCAGCGGCGGTGGTTTGCGGTAGGCAAGCGCTGCATTACGTGGGCGTCATTAGGGGTGTTCAGTGCGAGGAGGCGGCTGCCGAGAGGTATGCGACGGGGCGCTGCATTGTCCCCAGCGGCGCTCAACTGCTGCAGTTTTGCTCAGCAATGACCCTGAAGATGTCTAATAAATGGCCAGTGCCAAGCGCAGCGACTGCGGCAGCGGCAGCAGCAACACCAGCTCTGAGGGGTGAAATGCGTAGCCAAGAGATGGATTTTTTCTATACACACACTCGCGCACACACACAATTTGGTCTCACATATACCCGCGCGCATACACACACGCACACACATATATATACATATACTTCAGAAATTTATGCAAAATTTTCAGCGCACCGCGCGAATTTTGCATTGGCTGCACCATTTCGCTGTTCTGTTGTGTACTTACGCCGTTTTTTTATAATTTGTTGTTATAATTTGTTTAGTTATGAAAATATTCCCGCGTCTTTTGATTTTATTCCGTTTTCTTTTATCTGTGCGTCTGTATTTTTAATTTCGTATTTTTACATTGATATTTTCACACACTGCAAATATGGGCACACAAATCCTGTTAAAAATCCCAAAACTGCGCACTTTAGCGTCTGTGTGACCGCAATGACAACATCAAAAATACCACATAGCGAGATACTAAAAATACTGAATTTGCAGATTACAACATGCTCTAGGTGGCAGCCCTAAAAGTGGAGTATTTATATATGCATGCAAGGTATTTGAAAAGAAGGCGGGAATTTATTCGCACATAAATTTAGCTACAAAACACTTGTTTTTCCTACAATTAAAATGTTCCACTTTCATGATTGACCTTCTAATGGACTCGTACAGAACAGTACTATTGATTGGCATTAAAATTAACAAATTTTTCATATATGGCATAGGGTTAAATCAGATTTCATTTTTGCAAAAATGGGGTTTTGTGAATCCAAAAACTTCTTTTACCGGAGTAATTCTCATTGCCCAAAATAAAATACATTCACTTTATATGTATAGTAGTATTATCATCAACAACAAAAGTTTTATACACCACATAAAATAGCTAATACAGAAGTTCACTGGTTGAAACTGCTCGACTTGGAAATACCCCGTGTTGCTGATCTTACAAGCATTTGAACGCTATTCCATAAATATACATACAAGTATGCACTCAATGAAGTCGGCGGTGCTTCAAACAAGTTGGATGGAAAATGATTTACTTCGGCGTTTTTAGTCTGATTTTCAGGTATTCGGTATGGTATACAAAAGTGTGTATAAACCAAGGATCAAGGCTCGATCTTTTTAAACAGATTATTTTTTTTTTTCAGTTTAGAAAAACTGTCGATATTTATAGCCAATGCAAGAATACGGCATGATTATATCGTCTCAGCTCGTCATCCCGAATATATGTATATATACACATATATATATATATATCATTAATATATAATATACATCTGCTCAAACATATTATACCCTCAGCTCTTAAGGTTTGGGCTGTGCGTGTATTACTAATTAGAAAGTCTTACTTTTTAGATAAATCTGAATACAGGCTTTGCTAATGATGTCTTGTCTTTGGGATATACTTACAATGTCGCAGTATCAAATTGAATATACTTACTGATATATTAAGCAAAAAGCATATACTTACTTATTTAGATAAATTTGAGTTTATATTAAGAAATATGGCTGAAAAGAAAGAGGAACCCAGAATTTCACCCCGATGCCTAATGAACGTTTTGAATTGTGCTTCCAACAGAGGGCTTGATAATAATAATTGTGTGCCCCAAATGAAAGTGGGCTATTTTAATAATAATCATAAAGTTTATTTCGTTTTATTTATCGACATTAAAATGCTGCTAGGGATGTATATATTTGATTTAATTTGAATAAATTTGCAAGATATATGCATATGCTCGTTTATGTATGTGTAGCATATGAAATTGATTTATATAAACTGTTAGACGACGAAAAATTTGTTATTAATATTTGCCATTTGTGCCATAATTTTCATATAATGATTGACACCTTTTAATTCTTGTTATTAATATAAAAATTGTCGAATGCAGAGTGAAAAATAATTAGATAAAATCTTGTTTATGTGTGCTGCAAGACTTTAGCAATATTATAATGATTATTTTTAATATTATTTTTTTTAATATTTTTTATTTATAATATTATTTGTATTATCCGCCAGTCAACCCATATTTATATGTATATGTTTAGAGTTTTATATGTCATATATAAAAATACTCCCTAGAACGCTCGAAAAAGCAATCCTTTGGTTATCGTTAGTTAATCCCAAATCTAGATCTGTATAGCATGTAGTATATGTTGGTTGTTTTTAATATAATTTCATATTTATTACATTTTTGGTACATAAATCTGTGTGTGTGTGTGTGTGTGTTGTTGTTGTTGTTGTTGTTTGAATTGCCTTATAATTTGTGCTGTTGCTGTTGTTGTTGTTTTGAAGTAAATGTTGCTGCAATTGTTGTGGGTTTATGTAGTATAGTTAACTGAATAGTTGTAAAACTAAATAAAATTAGAATTATTCATTTATATACACACATACATAACTTAAAAGAACAGTGCGCGAAATTAAACAAAAAGTCGTAAAGTAGTAGTTAAAAATTATGAGCTAAGAAATTATTTTATACATTTTGTGCTTTGGACCGAAATATAACGAAATTTTGATAATAATAATAATATGCAAACGCAATTTAACAAAAGACTCTCCTAAATAAATATAACTAAAAGTCAAGCAACATAAATGTAAATCGAAAAATATTTCCATGTTGCCTCTTCCTAATTATATTCGTTACTTTTTTGTTTTTGTTTGTTTGTTTTTCTTCTTTTTTTTTTTACCATTCTCATTAATTTTGTTATGTAAAGTTTTGTGCCGAAAATATCACATTGATTTTTTTTTTTTTGTTTATTTTTTTTGTTTTGTTTTGCTTTTAAATTTATCTTTTATCATTTTGCCATTATTAATTTCAATAGGTGCCAAACCATAATTTTGCTTATCACAAAATGTTTAAAATTGAATCAATTGAATTGTTTAAAAGTTTTATATTAATATAGTGCTGAAATGATTCTAACAGTTGTCAAATGTCACACAAGCAATTATAAGTTAAATGTATCTCGTAGTTGCTGATATGAATTATTTGAATTCCATTTAACATTTATTTGTTTCACACAAGTGATTTGTTTTAGTTTTCGTTTTATTTGTATACTATATAAATATAAGCAAGCTTAACGTAAATGTTTAACAAAATTGTGAGGTGGTTCAAGTGGTTCGCATTTAGTCTAAGAAAAAAACTTATCAAGAACTTTAACCGTACGCAAAAATTCTAATTATAAAAACACATTTACACGCAGCAAACAAACAAACGAACGTTAATTAAAAACATTTGTTGCATTTAAATTAAAATAGTAGCTAGGTAATTTATTTATATGTAGTATATATATATATATATATGTGTGTGTGTGTGTGTGGATATATAAACACAATTCATTAAAATTAAGCAATCAATCAACAATAAAACTGAAATGCATCTGAGGTATATCAAAATTTCTTCGTAGTTCTTTGAGTAATCTATTTAAAAGTATGTACTCTTTGCAAATGTTATATAATTATATAGTATACGATAAAATTAATAAAAAAATATATATATATATATTCAAATGTGCGCACACATGTCTGTATATATATATATATATATATATATATATATATGTATATAGACGTGTTTGTATGTATGCCAACTAAAGATTAATGTGATAATATATGAGTAGTACGAGTAGGTGACTGTGGCTGCCTTTGTGGCCGGACCAGAAGCCCTGCGTTTTACATTTAGATTATAGTTTTGCTTCTTCTTCTTTTTCTTCTCAATGATGTACATCAATCGTGTGTATTCATATAATAGTTTTATATGCATATATGTACTAGGAAACAACACGCAGAAACCTTTAAAGTTATTTTTTTTGTTTTTTTTTTTTTTTCGTTTTGTTTTTTAGTCAAATTTTTGTCAATGCTAATTTCGCATGTTTTTTTTTTCTTATACTAGGTTCAGGAACTCCTTGCTAGGGAGCCACCATTTCCAAGTGTTTTTTTTTGCGGCGAGTTCAATCATTTTGTAGACATCATTTTGTAGAATCTAGTTAGGATCTCTTTACTTTTTATTCCATTAAGAAGAAAAAAGGTTTATAACTAGCCATTTATATGGTATGTACTCTCTTTAGTTTTCTTCTCCTTTTCCATTATTTATATATGTATATATATAATTTGCATACTTTATATATATATATGTATGTAGTTTGTATTTATGCCTGCGGTATCGCAGTATATATAGTATATGTTTATAGTTTTTAGCATCTTCGGTTCTATATATTTTGGGTTATTGCTTGAGGAGGTTTGAGGATTAAATTGCGAACTAAGCGGAAGAAATGTACAGAAGCGACTTTGGAGGCGACTAAATGCAAAGAATGACAGTTATATATATATGTATATATATATATATATATATATATATATAGCTGATTTATATATCTTTTAATATGTTGAATGTACATCAACTCCGTGTTGTTAGAGAACTTACACGTTTGTAGGAAAAGTCACGAGCTAAACGCTTAAAAAAACCATTTGTTGTCCTTTACATGTTGTAATTGTTGTTTTTATAGATGTTGTAGATGTTGTTGCTATTGTTGTTGTAGTAGTAGTTGTTGTTGTTGTTGTTGCTGCTGCTGCTGCTGCTGAACTTTTTTTCCTGTGCATTACTGTAGAAGCCTGGACGAGGCCAGCCCCGCCCTTATATGGAGGAGTTGAGCTTGAGCAGGCGATCCGGATGCTTGACCCGCAAATGGGAGCGCAGCGTATCGATCCGACTGTAGGTGGCCGGGCAATAGGGACACATCGAGCGCTGGGCGGTGTGCGAGTGGAAGTGATGCCAGCGATTGGTGACCTCCTTGCCGCAGGAGCGACAGCGCCACATGGTGCCGGGATCGCGGGACGGCGTGAACATGTTGTGATAGGACATGGTGTGATGTGAATTGTGCCCGGTGCCACTTGGTGTATTGGCGCCGCCGCCCAATGCGGCCGCCTGTGTCGGATTATAGCCATGGGCGGGGGGCGTGCCGCCGCCACCGCCGCCGGCGCCGCTATTGTGGCCATTGCCCGCGGCGCGTATATAGTGCAGCGGATGGTATTCGCTCTTCAGGGCCGCGGATAGATGCATGCCAAAAGGCGGAGGCGAGGCCGACGAGGAGGTCGAGAGCGGTGTCGAGAGATGGTGACGAGCGGCGAGGCCTGTGTCGAGAGCGAGAAAGAGAAGAACAGACACACAACAGCCCGTCGAGCGGGACGAAAATCAGCCCAGAGAAATAGATCTTTTTTTTTATTTGGTTTGTTTTTG